GTGTTTGCGGAAGTTCCTGGGAAAGGAAGTGCCGGGCGCTGGTGAAGCCCTGGAAGGGGTGCCCGCCCGCCACCACCGCTGCCCCTGACATCGCCTGAGGCTCTGCCCTCCCCACTTTCAGTGAGAAATGCCTTCCCGGAGCCCCTAAACTCGCCCACCACCCGCCCAGAGGTACGTCCCACCCAGTCTCTGTCCTATTGAGACCCTTCTAGGGGTACCCTTTGGCCGCCAGCGCAAAGGTGCATGATCAAGCTTTCTTTTGCAGCCCACCCTCCATCCCAGGAGGACTCCCTCGGGGACCCCCCCACCTCCACTGCACACCCTTCCATTTCCTCCCTGGGCCCAGGCACTCTGAACCCCACCAGCCTCCCTCCCTGAGTCAAGGGCTCCTGTGCCCAACGCCCAGCTCAGCAACGCAACTGTCTGCACCACCCCAACTGTCTGCACCACCCCAGGTAGGTCTGGGGGCTGCAGACGCCCCTCCCCTGCCGCTATGTCTGGGCCACCTCAGGCAGGTCTTCTCTGTCCCCAAACTGTTCCCTGACAAGGCCCAATGTCCAAGATGGCCAGACAAGCTTCCTGGACACTGACCCCACAGCTCTGGGTTTCGAGAGCCAGAAAGAGAAATGATGGCCCAGCCAGCTGCAATTCGAGTCAATGTACCCACAAAACATAGGCCTGGGGGGCCCAAGCCACATGATTTCTCCTGCCTGCCGCGTCCCCAGAGCAGGGCCAGGCCAGTGGTCGCCACCGCCCTTCCCCCATCCGGTCTGCCGGGTCTGCCGGGCCGGGTGGGCCCAGGACAGACCAGCACAGACAAGAGACGGCGCCCGGTGGCGAGTGGCTGGCAGGCCCTACCTCTGGGTTACCGACGCGGAAGCATTCTCCCGTTTCCGGCGCTTCCTCTCCGCGTAGCCCCTGAACACCCTGGGAAACCACGGGGAATCAGCGCGGCCCTTGGCCACAGGCAGAGGGGCAGAGACGAGGGCACCGAGGTGCGGGCACAGGAACCGGCGGGCATCCAGGGCGCCGGGCCAGGCAGCAGGGTCCTGCCCTGCCTCGCCCCGTCCTCGCCCGGCTCCCTGAAGGCCTGCTGCGGCCTCGGTGCACGCTGGGACACAGCGCTTCCTCGGTCAAGGCCCCAGTCCCTGGCCTGCCCAAACCTATTGGGGGCGGGAGGGTCCCCCAGGGACAGACACGTGCCCTTAGGCTCGAGGTCCCACAGGGTACTTACGAGATGCTGGAGGTACAGCCGGAAGGGGCAGCGTGAGAGAGAAGACACAGTGAGCCTCGACCCCTCGGCACCCAGGTCCCTGCAGTTAGTCCCCTCCCTGTCCTTGACTCAGTGGCCCTCACGAGTACCCCTGGCACCAGCAAGGTGCCGGCTGGCTACGCTGTGGGTAGTGGGCACTGCAGTCACCACAGCCCATGCCACCAGGTGCTGTGACCAGAGGCCTGACCGGGCCCTGTCGGCCCTGGGACTATCAGCGCCTTCAGGCAGCTCAAGGGCAGTGGTGGCCCCCAGGGTAGCAAGCGGCTAGGGCGCTTTTTCCGTGTGAGGAACACTGCAGTGAAGGATGTCTCCCTGGAAGGAACCTCAGGACAGAACACCTGGATGTGTGTCTCGGGTGAAGGGCAGACCCCTAGGAGGCTTAAGTTGTGGTTACTCGTGCGTGCACGGAATGCGAACAGCCTGCTGTTTGGGGTATGTGTGAGGGCGGAGCTGGGTGACACAGGCCCGGGAAAACTACCCCCTGGGTCACTGTATCAGCTGTAGCCCTGGGCCAGGTCCTGTGGACAGGACAGGACGAGATGGACAGACAGAGGGAGCTGGGAGTGATGGGGAGGGCGGGCAGGCAGCAGGGAAGGTGTGGGGTGGGGGCAGGAGGAGCAGCCAGTCCTGCCTTCCCACAGACTGGTGTCGCTTCTGGGCAATGGGCCACCCAGGTGGGCTCGGTCTGGCAGTGTCCCAAGTGTGGGGAGGGGCCCGGCCCAGGCCCTGCAGGCGGGCCCACCACTCACGCTTGCATAGTTGTGGTTGCTGTCTGGAAGCTGAAGAGGTTTTCCTTGGGGAACCAGGTGCGGATGGGGGTGTCATCTGGAAAAGAACAGTGGCTGGGGAGTCCTGGGGGTTCCTGGAGCCTTTACCCCAGCTGTTGGGGAAGGGGGTGCTTCTGCCGCAGTTGGCGGAGGTGAGTGCGGGGCCATGAGGCACTGTGTGCCTGCTTGGCTGCTGGAGCCTGGACAGCTCAGCGGCTTCGTGACGCTTTGATTGTCCCTGTGTCTCTCTCTCTGTGGCTGCCCACAGTCGAGCAGCGTTCCTTTGAGAGTACAGCCTGTCCCCAGGGTGTCCAGGAAAAGGGTTCATTTTGTCTCCATTTCAAGGGCAGGGACAATGGCTGCAGCCCCTCCCGGGGACTCGAGGGCCTGCTCTGCAGCCAGAACACTCTGGCGTAAGCTCGGCCAGACCACCCGCCCCCCCGCCTCTTCCAGGAGGGTGAGGTGGAGACCGTCCTGCTGAGGGCTGTCCCTTCCAGGGCCCTGCAGCTCCTAGACAGGGTGGACAAAGGTCCAGTCGGCTCAACCCTCTCACCCTGACCCCCACAGCCCTCGCCTGTGACTCTCAGAGGAGCATGGGGTCCTGGAGGTGAACCTGATGCCCAGGCTTCAGCCCCGGGGGAGGGGGTGCTTCTGCTGTTGCCGGCGGAGATGAGCATGGGGTCACGAGGCAGTGTGTGCTCGCTCAGCTGCCGAAGCCCAGACGGCTCAGCAGCTTCCTAGGAGGACGTGGTGGCTCAGCTAGTTAGAACTCTGCTCTCCAGGAGATGACCTCAGAGCCAGGAGGTGCGGGCTGCTTGAGCGTCCCAGACCTCGCAAGAAGGACTTGGGGGCTCCCTACCCACCTACACAGCTCAACCACCCCGGGAAGACGGCCCAACAGCCGTGTAGCTCCCTCCTGCGGTAAGTGGGCGCCCTGCCTGGTGGTGCCAGGGCAGGGCTGTTTCCTAGGACTCCCCAGGGGCCGAGCTCTTCCCAGGCCCTCAGGACCCTCTCAGGACCCCTCTCTGAGGAAGCGCCCGACTGACTTGGTGCTGACAGGGCCCAAGCCAGCCACGGGCATGAGATGTGGCGGCAGCACCCTACCCGCACACTGTGACCAGGGCGCCCACCCGCCGTCCGAGCCTCGCACGGCTGCTGCTGGCAGAGCCGGCCCCTCACCAGACACGCGGTCGACGCTGCACATCCTCTCCAGCTTCTTACGGCGGCTGGCAGCCTCTGGCAGGGGGGGCTGGCCCAGCGCGAAGGCCCGAGGGGAGGGGTCGGGGGCCGGCTGGGTGCATCCCGGGCACTCCGTGGGGCCCTGGTGGCCGCCCACCCAGCTCTGGCATGGCCGGCTGACATCCTCGCGGCTGCCCCCCGGGCTGGCACGTAGGGGCTGACTGTGGTGGTGGGGGTGCCGCTCCCGCTGCCGCCGCCCCTTCACCACGGCCAGCTCAATGGCCTCGGCCTCTGGGCTGGGCAGCAGGGCCGGCTCCCCGGAGATGGTGTACACTCGGGGCTGCGGGCCCACTGTGGCTGCCTTCCCAACGGCCGCCTCCTCCGAGAGGCAGCCCTCGTAGCGGCCGTTGGACACCAGGGAGAGGCGGCGCTTGTTCTGGGGGGCTGGCTGCATCTCGGGGGACCCGTCGTGGCCAGAGTAGGCGTCAGCCAGCAGGTGATCTGGGGAAGAGGCGCCAGGTGAGCCTGCAGCCCGCAGGCCCCGGCCTCCCAGCCTCCCCACTGACCAAGCCTTAGTCCCCATGTCCTCTTCTGGGACGCTCCCACCTCCCTCCTGTCCGAGCCCAGGACCTCTGTGCGTGCGTGGGGGCGATGGGCTGTGCTACCTGTGGGTAATGGGGGGCAGGATCAAGCGGCCACCTCCTAGCCTGCCACCGCACTCTTGTGCCCAGTGCCAGTTTCTCCCCTCCCCCCCACCAGCTGGCCCCAAGAGACAGTGGTGCCAGCCCCGGGGGTGCCAGGAGGCCTGTTGCCATGCCAACGGCCCAGGCTGGGTGGGTGCCATGGTGATGAGTTCCTCCTGGGGCTGTGGGCCAGTGAGGGCAGGGGGCATGAGAAAGGGAGCCCAGCAGGGCGGCTGCTGCCCATCACGCCCCACGGCCCACGGGCTGGGCCTCAGGCCATAAGGTGCACAAGTGTGGTCGGGCTGCGTCTGGCACTGTCTCACATGGCCCTACCTGCTCCGTTCCGGTTCTCAGGGTGACTCTGGGACAAGTACTCGCCGAATGCTCGGGCTGCTCTGAAGGATGGACAGCAAGGTGTGCTATCAGTGCACACAGGCCCCTGACCTCTCCCGAAGCAGGAGCGCGGAGTGTCCCCACCCCCACCCGGTCCATCGCGCCAGCGAGGGAGGAGTCGGGATCACCCAGGGCAGGCACTCCCATCCCACCCAGAGAGCCCAGGGCTGGCAGGTCGCAGTTCAGGGGACTCTTGGGTCCCAGTGCCCCGTGGCCGGACCTGCAGACCGGGCCTGTCACCTGTATGTGTCTGTGTGTGGGAGACCGTGATGTCGGGCAGCGGGCCCCCGCCGTCTCAGGCAGCCGCAGGGAGGCGGGGGTGGGAGGGAGGAAGACGGTGCAGGGACGCTCGGCCCGCCGCACTCACCGCACTTTGGCTGCCACCGAGGACATGGCCTCGCTCCTCAGCGCCCTCCTCCGGGAGGCGGCGGCGCCCATGGTCGAGGCGGCGGCGCATCCCCCGGCCTCAGAGCGCGCCCCGCGCCCGCCGCCTCCGCCGGGGGAGCCGCGCGGTGTCCAGGGTCGGGCCCAGGACCTGCATGGCCGCGTCGGGGCCTCCGCGCATCCAGCCGCACCGGGAGCCGCGGCCAGGACCGGGGGCGGCGCTCCGCCCACCGTAGCGTCAGGGGCGGGACTCGGGGGGCCGCCCACCGTGATGCCAGACCTGGGCAGTGGCTCCGCCTGCCGTGACGTCAGGCCCGGACCTTGACCCAACTAGGTCGTCCGCCGTGACGTCAGGGCCTAAGGTGGCGGCTCGGCCTAGTGACGTAAGGGGCAGGGGCGGGGCTGTCTGTCAGCTCCCTAACCGGTAGGGAAGCTGAGGCTGGCAGTCGCCTGTCTGCAAGGTCCTAGGTCCTCGAGTCAGGGGTCTCCCTGCCCCTCACAGACCCGCGTCCCCAGCTCTGAGCCTTGCAGGAATCGTGGATCCCATGGTCACGGGCCAGCAGTTCTCCCTCTTCTCCTATAAAAGGCCTCCCCTGGGGCTGTCCCACGACCCGAGGAATGAAGCGCGATCCTCCGCCTGTGTGGACCGAGCCGGAGCAACGTGCGAGGACTGGGGAGAGGCGCATCCTTGGTCTCGAGAACCCCGCTCCACCCGACGCAGGGTGCCCTCCCTGCCTGGCCCAGAGTTCCCCAGGGGTCTCAAGTCACAGCAGAGGGCTGCCTGGGGTCCCCACATGGCGACCTCCAGGAGGGCAGGCAATGCCACGCCCACCTGGCCTGCAGCCAGGCGCTTCTTGGGGCTGCTGCCTGCCACTGGGCTCGGCGGAGGGACGACGCGTCCCACACAATCAGATGTACCTTTATTGACACGCTAAATGGAGGCACTGGAGCTCCGACACCTCTCGGAGGCCTCAGGGTGCTGGCGGGTGCTGGCGCACCCCAGGGCTGCTGGGTGTGCAGGGGCTGCCAGGACTGAGTGCCCCGCCAGGAGCTGCCAGTGCAGAGAGGCCCAAGACACCCCAGCCGGGTTTCCCCCAGGAGGTGCCAGCTGCAGGGAGTGACAGTCACTCTACCCATCTTGGCCACAGGGCCAGGGGGACAGGGCGTCCTGGGACGACTTTGGGGAAGCCAGACCGGGGTGCTGGTGCGAAGGCGAGGGCTCATCTTCCTAGAAGCAAACAGCTCACGGTCAAGGCGGGGACGAGCCTGAGGGCTGGCCCTGGGCTGCAGGGCACGGGGACCCTTGCAGCTCACCGAGTCAGAGCCCAGGCCGGCCGGCATGCGCTGGAAGCCAGTGAAGGCGTCGGGGGGGCTGTCCGGCAGCACCTCCTCGCAGTCCGTGACGTAGTCAGATTCGTCTGTGCAGAGGGAGGGCTGCGTCGTCCCCTCCCCAGAGTGGGACCCTGCTACAGTGGCGCAGGTCCCCACACAGCCAGCCAGTCCGGGGCGGCTTGCTGACTGTGTCAGGGGTGAGGAGTGGACGTTGCCACCAGCACCTCAGCTTTGTGGGCACTCATCGTGGGCATCCAACTCACCGTCCACCACAGCCACCTTGGCGGGCTCGATGCGTGACACAATCTCGGCAAGGTCCGTGAAGGAGGCGTTGGGGCAGGTGAGGACCTGGAGGCCAAGGTAGAGGACAGATCTGGCCAGGGCCACCATCCCTGTGCCCCCCAACAGCAGCCCTGCCCCTCCCCGCGACCCCAGCTTGCTGAGGACCCCAGTCCCCAGTGTGGGACGGGGTCACAGAAGCTGGGCAGAGTTCTGAGCAGCCCCCACCCCGTGCAGCACGAGGGCAGGGAGGCAGAGGACAGATGCGGGAAGAGGCCCCAGCCGCGGCCCTCTCTTCTGGCCTGTGGGGAACTGCAGCATGGGCAGGTGAGGGACGCTGCGAGGCGCTACTGGCTGCAGGGAGCCCTGCACCTGCCACAGGCAAGGGGGGCGGAGGGCAGATCCCCGGAGGGAGGAAGGGCGGGAGAAAGGCCCGGAACTCACGTCGCACGCCTTCATCTTGCTGGTTCCCTGTCGGTCCTGCAGCATCTTGTCCAGTACACCACTTCGACACCAGATGTCAAATACTGTCCGTCCGTGCTGGTACCCCACTTCCTGCACACACGGTGGGGACCCTGGAGCCAGTTGCCAGGCCCCGCCTCCTGTGCTCTCAGCAGCGAGGGCAGGGAGGCTGGGGAGGAGGCCGCCAGACACCGGACCGCGCTGGCCTGGAGCCCACACTCACGCAGATCTCTGCGAACTTGCCGAAGTCCAGGCTGCCGTAGCTGTCGATGGGGGGGCGCAGGTACTCGCAGTAGTCGCTGTCCCTCACCGCCTCCAGCTGCCGCACGCAGCACACGTAGGCCAGGCGCGTCTGCACCTCCGCCATGTTCAACACCTGCCGCACAGCCCCGCTCTGGTCCCCGGCCTTGCTGCCCTCCCACCCCCAGGGCAGACGAGCTCCGCCAGGCCTGTCCCCTCCCTTCGGCTGGACCCAGAGCCAGGAAGGCACTGCCCACTGCCCTGCCCACAGAAGGCACCTGGGCAGCCCACACTGTCCCCTGGGGCACAGGGCTGTGCCCGCACCTTGACTTTCGTGGCCAAGGGGTTCCAGCGCTTCCACAGCAGCCACCACCCAGACAGTGCATCGCCGTAGTTGGTGAGGTCCGTCTCGTCCCGGCTGCCCACATCGATGGCAATCACCACCTTTGCACCCATCGACCTGGCCACATCCGCTGGGAAGGAGGCGGCCCTGGTCACCACCCGGGAGACGTAGGCAGAACCCCGGGTGGGTGTAGAGCTTGGGGAATGGCGGCAGAGCCTGCCCGGCAGGGCCTGAGAGCCAGGGGTTCACTCCGCCATGACGCCTGGGCCTGTGGAGGGGGCAGCCGAGTGCACAGAACTGTCCAACAGGTGACAGGTGTGCCCAGGGGAGGGCCTCCCCCACAGCAAACCCAACACCTGTGGGCTGTTAGTTCTGACTGCGGGCACAGACGGGACATAATTGCTCCCAGCACCTCCACTTGGCCCTTGTCCTGAGTGCTGCTGGGCTGACAAACAGAGCCATATGCTGGGGCTCACGGTACCCGGGTGCGTGTGCAGGTGGGTTCTGTGCTCTGTGCCAGCCTGTCACCTCCCTTGGCACATGGAGGAGGACATGTGCCAGCCATCCAGAGCGGAGCTGGCAGCGGTACCTGGGAGATTGTTGATGTAGCCCCCGTCCATCAGCAGGTGTCCATCCTTGGGGTCACAGAGGGGGGGCATGTAGCCCGACAGGGACATGCTGGCACGCACGTACCTCCACAAGGAGCCTGGGGGGTGGGTTGCAAAGGGTCAGAGAAGTCTCTGGACCCCCAGCTCCTGAAGCCTGCACACCCCACCCCTGGGGAGGGCACCAGGCCTGGACACACCTCCAGGATGCCGTGTCTCTGGGGCAGGAACCCGAGGCCCGAGAGGCCAGGCTTGCTCCGAGGGTTCCCAAAGGCCATGCACCAGGCTCCAACGATGTGTGCCAAGCCTTCCGCCACCCCGCCCTCCCGCCTCCAGACACAGTCACGCAGCCCCAAAAACACTGCCTGGGAAAGGGCCTCAGCTGCTGCCTCAGATCAGCTTTCCCCACGTCCTCATCCAGCCTCCCCGACAAGACCCCTGACCCGAACGGGCCCTCCGTGTGCCCTGTCACCTGAGCGTGTCCATTACTCCCCCTGCTCAGTGTGCACTGCTGTCCCCACCTCCCCCAGTCTTGTCTGGGCTGGGGTCTCTGTCCCCTGGCAGTCTCCCTAGTGGCCGACCTTTTGTGCCCAGGGCAGGGTCATCTCGTGTTCAGGTTTCCTCAGGTGACTCCGGCCCCACTAGCTCACAGAGCCACCAGGTTCTCTGCCACCGCCTGGAACTGGCCCTCCACGTTTCCTCAGGTGACTCCGGCCCCACTAGCTCACAGAGCCACCAGGCTCTCCTCTGCCACCGCCTGGAACTGGCCCTCCACGCCTCTGCTCGGGAGCTGTTCTGCCCCGCGCCCGGGGGAGGCACTCACCGTCCGTGTGGACCCGCATGGCGGAGGCTGAGATGTCCGTGGTGATGGCGAAGTAGGGGAGCCACAGGTCCTGGGGGGGGACAGGGCTCAGGGGCGCGCTCCGCAGGCTGCCGGCCCCCACCCTCCGGGCTGGGGCTCCTGGCAGCACCTCGATCTGCCGGTCCTTGAAGACGCTGCAGATGCTCCTGTTGAAGCCGGCGCCCGAGAACATGGAGGTGATGGGGTAGGTCAGGTCCAGCACGGTCTTCATCATCGACGTCATGTCCTGATCAGACGGGGCACAGGGAGGCTCCTGTGAGGAGGAGGGCTCACACCCCCACCTGGTGGCACAGGCATCGGTGACTCTGAGGGACCCAGCAGGAGGCTGGATTGAGAGGGAGCAGGGATATGGGCACACTGTGTCCTTCCCGCAAACAAAATGAGGTGTCCGCGAAGCTTCCTTGGGGGGCGGAGGTCTCTATGGCCGGAGTGGCACACCTGGAGGTCCCATGGGGACGCCCTCGGACCCTCGGCAGGCCTTGCCACCTGCTTGGCGGGGAGGATACCGGGCACGGCCGGGACAGTGCACTGGGGAAATGGTGGAGTGCCCGCCTGGCTCTGAGGCCTCCAAGACCAAGGAGACCCACACGGTCCCCGGGAGGGCAGCTGGCCCAGGCCGGCCCTCGCACCCTGCTGTGGCGGACGCCCCACTCCCAGAGACCACACTTGCTGCCCAGGCGGGGGGGTCGGGGATAGAGAGGGGGGACCCTCTGCCTGTGAGGACGGTGGCCCCAGCCAGGATGAGTCTCTGGCCCCCATGTGCTCAAACTGAGACATGTGAAGACTCTATTTTGGGAAAAGCAGAGGGACGTGTGCTTTGGAGGACAGGGGCCCAGGACAGTATGGGACATCCCCAGGGTCCTCCATGGCCAGCACAGCCCTCACTTGGAGGACACCCCTGCCCAGCACCAGAGGGACCTACAGAGCCAAACCTGGCAGCCCCCGTGACACCCACCCCTCAGCAGGGGACACAGGCCATGCAGACAGGCAGAGCAGAGGACAGCCTGGGAAAGCCCCACCCTGCCCTGCCCTGCCAACTCAGGACGGGGCATCAGGCCCAGGGCTCCCTGGCCAGTCCCACACCTGCACCGGACTGGTGGGGGCGGAGCAGGGACAGGTCTGCCTGCCATCACGGACCCGCGTGGAGGCTGCAGCGCACTGCGTCCTCAGTGACCGTGCGGCTTGGCCCCTGGGCCCCTGGCTAGGAGCCGCCATGGTGGCTCACAGCAGGGAAAGCGTGCCCTCAGAGCCCGCTCCCTTCTCTCTTTAAAAGCAGGATGCACATGCTTTGACCCTGCTCATGGTTTCAGTGGGCTTGGTCTGTCCTATAAAATCAGCACGGGAGGGCAGACGGCAGCCTGGGCCCATAGGGAATGTGTGTCCCCCACACCCCCAGAGCCTGGATCTAGCCTGGGGCTCCCCTGTGGCCCGGTGGGCTGGCTGGGCCTCTCGTTCTGTGGGTGACGCTGAAGTCCTTTCACTGGCACTGACTTCTCCGTGTTGTCCTCAGTCACCTCTACAAATTAAGACCAGGCACCAAGCAGAGCCAGGCCTCAGCACGGTGTGGTCACACCCTTTGTTCTCTCCTGTGCGCTCAGGCCAACGGCCCCAAGGGCCTCCTGCCCTCACAGCCCCAGGGCCCAGGCCCTCACCTCAGCCCACTGCTTGGCCCGGATCCGCATCTGGCTGTAGCTCCGCTCCTCAGAGTACAGGGCGCCCATGAAGGCCCCGATGGACGTGCCTCCGACCATGTCCACAGGAATGC